TACAAACTATATTTCCACATACTTACACAAACGGGAACCATTTGATTACTAGTGTAGAATGAAATTGAACAAATATAGATCCCGAGAGCTAATAGAGTGAGCAAGAAGGTGAGCACACCTACTGCCACAAAGAATTCTGCACTGCTTGAAAAATCCCATGGTAAATCTGCCACCACAGTTTTATCATCACATTGAACTACTTTTATAGGTATCTGGTTCAGCCTATAATAAAATAAGGTAAAAGTTATTACATTTCTTGACCAACAAAAAAAACAAAATTAACAAGCAGGACTTTTTTCTTAGTGTACTTCTGTTACACTTGTTAACAGGTAGACACCATTATTAATATATGCATCAAATTATAAATTAATACACTTTTAAAAAAAGCGAGAGAGACTCATAGCATCACTTTTACTTGTGAGTACTTATTTCTTAATCCATGAAAAACACATTATTATACAACAAGTTTATTTATGTGTGATTTAACACATAATTCATACCTCACGGTGGCAAAATATCCCGATATATTACCGATTTCTGCGTAACGTTAAATGCAGAATTTGAACACTGAAATAGGACATTTAATATTAAAATAGAACAGTGAAAAATATTTTCAAGGGTGTTTTTATTTTTTATGCATAAATACTTGAAATTTTATGATCACTTGAAAATTGCAATTTCAGCTACATTTTCCAGAAAAGTGCACCCTTTCCCAAGATGTTTTTCTCTTTATTTTCTTGTTCTTTTGCTTTTTCCTTCTTTCTTTCATGAAAATAAATGATAATTCTTTTACGATTTTGTTGTTTTGGGGGATGAATACTTATGTTGACCTTCGAACAAGTACAGAATTCATAATAAGACACCTCCTTGGGCTCCTCCTTCAGCTACCTGCCTTTCCTCCTCCTTTTTCTGTTTGATTTGGCTGATCTTGTTATTTATTTTCTTCTCATCAAGGAACACTTCAATGGGATTTGCCTCTTTTATCATCTCATATCTTTCCAGGACCACTGTATAGCATGTCTTTGGTGCAATGTTTTCATTTGCATCAAGAATATCATTGATGATATTTGAAAGCAAATCTGGAAAATGTATACGAGTTGAAAGTTGGCTATTTGCTGCATTTATTTCTTTTGCAATGAAGGCGCTGATTGCCAAATGAATCTTTCTCTCAGATAGTAGATCCAATGCAGAGGGGTATTTCATTTTCAACTTCTCAAGCATGCGACCAGAGCCGATTATATTTTTATCACTTACATTTGTTTCACATCATCTATATAATAATGAATATACTTTTTTCCATATTTTTTTTTCCTTGAACAGGCCTTACTGCCCAACATTTCTGGAAAGATTTGTAATGTTTTTCAGGTTCAAGAACAAAACTACTACCTAAGTTACCATGATCAATACGTTGAATAAATTCAACAGATTCTTCATCCAGTAGAATTTCAGTGGGTTCAGGAAGACCTATGATTTTGCTCCATTGTGTTATGAGAGTATCAATGCAAAAAAGTTTAGCCAATTATATTTTTTTCCGGCTTAAATAGCCCCATGTGATTGAGAAACTTTTTGTACCCCCAGAGGTATGCATTGTGTGTTAATTTACATTTACATTCATTCAATTCAAGCTATTCATCAATGATAATGGCTACATTATTTTCTAGTGGCATATATTGTAAAGTGATTGTTTTCAAGTACATTTTTGCCACATAACTCTTTATCCAAATGTGTTTGGGGTCAGTCCATTGGACCAACCCTGTATCAAAGAAGTAATGTTCACTATAGTTCCAAATTTATTAAATGTATCTTCAAGAAATGTGGCAAGCTCTTAGTCTAAACTACAAGTCTGTTGTACACAAAATATCAGATGTGTTACTAAAGTATTTGTACTAAAAATATCCCTGGCTCAGATTCTGAGAAGTCAGAGTCCAAGTTGATGTTCATGTGAAGAATAAAAATACTTTTGTCCAACATACAGTTTGCAAATTCCATTTGCATAACCCCTATAACCTCCTAAATGTATATGTAGTTTTTATCAGTATCATTAAATACTGTGTCTGGTATTTTCTCTACTCTAACATGAATTACTGCAAAACCAGCAATGTAGGGAACCCCACCCATGCATAAGGGATTAATTTAAAAAAATAGTCATCACATATGCATTATTTTTCCAATTTCTGGCACTATCAGAAAAAAATATTTAATATTCTCTGATATATATATATATATATGCTTAATAAATGTATTTCCTATTGCTCCAGCACACAATTATTAAAAATTTCTTTTCTTTAAACTTACAGAAAATATGTTTGATAATAAGAGAATTTTTCTTAAAACAGTAAATACCAACATAATTCCCAGTTTGCCCCTGAAGAAGAAAGGTCCACCTTTCGAAAAGCGCTCGGGTTATAGGGTTTTTATTCATTTCTATCAAGACTTCTTGAACCTACATGTTTTTCTAACATCATGAATGTACCACCACGTGAGGAACATGAACCCGTTTCAGGTAATTCAATGCTTAAGTACCTACATGAACCCTTAACCTTTATTAATGGACACCCAATCCTGTCAGAATCCATCACTGGAGCTAAAATAAACGATGCCATAGCTATGACCAATTCTCTTCCCGAATCTATCCGATTTCGGATAATTCATTTTGGTACTAATGACCTGAAACAATTGGATAAGACTACTGAAGACTATATCTCAGATCTAGAAAACACAATAGCACA